ATTAGAAATGTTGGGTCAGAATTTCACATTGGTCCTAGTCATAATCAGTCCTAACCTCTAGTGTTTAAAACTTTCAATTTTTTTAACAATGCTCATTGTTTGTGGGACATAACCTAACCTTACACTTCGAAAAAACCAATAACTGAATTTAACTTTGAACATGAAGAAAATCTAGAATTGGTAGCAGAACTGCCCACGTCCTGTGTTTTCAGATTTCTAAAAATTTTAGCATATTTAGATACATAAAGATGTTTGAAAATATGTATAGTTTCTGTCAAATTAAACTTCTAAATAATAATAGTACAGTTAGTGCAGTATTAATTTCATTTGCTGTGACACAACTCACTTACCCAAGGAGACACAAGGAGATTTCTTTGAGATACACATAAAATAGTCCATATTTATAAACTAAATTAACTCTTTTATTATCTCTATGCCCTAAAGTGAAAATTCTCCCAAAATACACTACAACTATGCAAGAACAGACTATGAAGATTGTTGTTTGGCATCGCTAGGATCTCATACGGATAATGGGGTAAGAATTTACTATCTTCTGCTCACTAGGATGTACCTATTGCGTTCAGCCAAACAGGACTGGCTCTCCAGCATGGGAAGCTCATGACAAGTTTACATTCTACAGGGGGTGAAGGGATGCTGAAGGACTTGTCAGACACTGAAATAACTGTCAATGAGAGTCATGCTTTCTCTGAAAAATGCAATCATGGCCGTGATCTCTCTATGGTGGTCCACCTTTTGGACAAAAGGTAAAGGTAAAGCCCAGACTTCATGTAATATATAGAGAGACAATAGGCTTTTTGAAATAAGTTAAGGTATCATTTCTGGTTCTCTTTATACTTAAGCAGGCCTCCCTGGAAATATGAACCCTGAATTGACATGTTTTATTTTCCACCTTCCAGTCTGTTTTGTATTTTTCATTGCATTTTGTTATAGTAATGAGGACGTTTTTGTAGTTCTTGTACTGTGTACAGGGCAATCCTTGCATGGCCAGTCAAGTTTTGTGGCAGAGCTTGTTACAACACCTTGAAATGTTTTAGTGTAGGAAGTGAAAACATGAAAGAAAATTTGCATTTAGGAAGAATGTAAAGACTTTCTTGGGATTTTTGTAAGTTTAAAAGGCAAACATTTTTATGAAAATATCTGGTTATGCTTTTTCAAGGGTGTAACAGCTAAATTATTGGTTTCAATGTCAACATTTCTTGTGAAGAAAAAAATTAAAGAAATGTTTCCACTATTCATTTGTAAAGGGTCATGGTACATTTTCAATGCACTTTTAACAGTTTCATTTACTCTTTATCCATTAACCTACTTCATTTTGGGGTGCATTTTCTGATGGGACAGTGTTTATTTCCTGTGACATCAGTATATTATATATCATGGGGTTTTGCCTCAGTATTTACCACAAAGTTCTGCCCTCAGGCCTCCCTGAGTATAGTAGCACAGTCTTGGGGAGTGAAGCATAACTCACAATACAGGAGGATAAGACATACACAAGCCAAGGGGAGCAGACCGGCTGCCTCCAAGGGTGTTGAGAGAGTTGATTAACTCGTCATAGTGGGGCCTTTTTCATCTTTGAAAGGTAATGGCAGTCAGGGGAGATTCCTGATGAGTGGAAAACCCATAAACATTGTGTCCACCATCATGAAAGGTAGGAATTATCCTGGGAAGATCCAGGGAACTACAAGCTGGCCAGTGTTGGGAAGGTTATGGAGCATACCTTCCTGGAAGTAATTTCCAGGTACATAAACGACAAGATAGTGATTAGGAAGAGCCAATATGACTTTGTCAAAGGCAAATGACATCTGGTCAACCTTATTGCCTTGTGTGATGAGATGACTGGCTCCATGGACGAGGGGAGAACAGTGAATGTTTTTTACTTTGTCTCTACCAAGGCTTTCTGCAAGATCTTCCTTTTACCCCGAGAGAAAATGGTGAGATACAAACTGGGTAAGTGGATTATACAGTGCATAGAAAATTAGCTGGACTGCAAGGCTCAGAGGTTTGTGATTAGTGACACAAAGTCCAAGTGGCATCCCATTACTATGAATGGAATAGCCCCAGGTAACAGGACAGGCTGGGGAAGAGAAAGCAGTTTTGCAGAGAAGACCTAGGGGTGAGTAAGGCCAGACACACAGTTCAGTCATCAGGTTGAGGGAAATTATTATTCCCCTCCAGACTTTTGAGACTGCATCTGGTTTTGGGCTCCCTGGTACAAGAAAGACACTGACAGACTCCAGCGAAGGCCCACCAAGTTGGTCATGGGCTCGAGCACAAGGCACATGAGAAGAGGCTGAGAGAACTGGGTCTGGTCAAACTTAAGAAGGGAAGGTTCATGGGAGACCTTATTGCTGTCTACAACGAGCTAACCAGAAGATGTGGAGAAAATAAAACAGCTTCTTCTTGGAGATGCAGAGTGACAGGACAAGACGGAACAAGATTCAACAATGGAAACTCCAGCTAGGTATTACGGAAAAAAAATTACAATGAAGGTAGCAAAATACCAGAATAGGTTTTCTCCCTGGAGATATTCAGAAGTTGATTAGACAGGACCCTAAGCAACCTGAAATAGTTGGCGCTGCTTTGAGCAGGACGTTGGGCCAGATGTCCTCTAGGAGATCCAGCCTACATTATTCTACTAGTGTCTGAATAATTTTTCATAGGTGGATTAATATCTTATTTCTGAAGGATCTGAAACAAATCTAACACATAATTTTTCTGTCAAAGAAAGTGTAGAACAGATGACTCACATGCCATAAAGGTTTTTTAGCATATTTGGGTATATTCAGTCTTTCTTACTTCCATTATTTTTGAATAAAAATCCCAATAATGCTGACAATGTGTGGTACAATGTGATACCTTTATATTATCAGGTATCTGGATGGTATATGAAACATCTTTGATCCAATCCTTCTAAAGAGAGACACTATAAGATAAACACATAATTTTATACAGAATTTATAGCTGATAATATGTGCTACATTTATAACAAATTATTTTAAAATCATTTACTAAACTGTTTCCTTGATTGATCTTGGAATGTTTTATAATAAAAATATGATTTATTATATAAAAATAAAAAAGGTTCAACACATAGATGAATAGCACAAAGGAAAAAATAATTTGGGTCAATCAATTTTAAAACTTGTTCTATAACGTAACAAATCTCCTGTTAATATGATTGCAGATGGCTGATTTTTCTACACTGATAATTATCACTACCACTGGGACAGAGACCCATTATATACATAAGATGTCGGCCTCTGTCATTCCAAAATTTTTAAATGAACTGAATAGTGATTTTAATTTGTTACATTAAAAAAAAAAACAAACCACAATTTTTCAGGAATATAGGTCAAAATATGATATTTGGCTTCAATCAACTTCTGTACAATAATTTTCAAAATAAGATGCATTATTATTCCTCATATTTATCCAGTACGATGTCAAAAAGTATAAAAGGAGGAGAGCTCCCTACTTTATAGTTTTAGCAATTTTTAAAGTGTTGGACAAAAGATCAAAGCTCAGACTACAAACCTTATCAATCCTCAAAAGATATTTTTAATAATGCAGTATTTTGTAAGTCTTGATGACATCCAAAGGCTTATTACAAGTAATTGCTTACAGTGGCTAGAAGTCATTATATTCCCTTTTCTAGATTTTCTTTAAATGTGCTTTCATGAAATGTAACTGAATAGAACATATAACTAAAGAGATACACCTAAACACAAAATACGTTTTGATTTGGTGTAAGTTCCTTAAATTCATTTAACTTTGAACCTGATAGTTAACCCAGTATGCCTCATAACCCACAGTGTTTCACACCTTTATTACCAATGAAAAATAAATGTTACTCTATAACTATAGCTACCGTTTTCATAAAGCTGTTTCTTTTAATAATAATTCCTTAAATATAGTCAGCTTTCTGAATACATTTCTGGATTTAAAAAACTCAAATTTATTACTGCGAAACCATTGAACTTGTTCTACACAACACAGCTCAACTGTGCAGTCAATGGTTTCAGACGCTGTGCTGCATAACGTCTCCCTTCCTTACCCAGCCATCTCCAACAGAGAAGCAGCTCAGCTGCAGCAATGAGCCCAAGCAAATCTGCCAAGACAGACCCCACAAGGAACTCGGTTCTTTGCTTGTGAGCAATGGTTCTCATGTGCTTCCCACACGTGTAGTTTTGAGGCACTTACGAATTCAGATACATCATCTTCTGAGCATGTTGTTTCTAGACATGAATTGGATTTCTCAATTCATGTAAGCAATGTCCAGGGTGATACATCATAGTTGTGCAAAACTTCACTCACACACAAGAGTCTTCCCAGCACAGGACACATGAGGAATCCAGTGGAAAGATCCTCTTAATTAGCATGATGAGATGCAGTTATCGTCAGTGGTATTTATCTTGATTCTGCAAGCCCTTCATTACCTCTGATAATGCAGGATCTACTAATTTTAGGTTACCCTACTTGTAGAGGAAACACTGTGCTTATGTAGTAAATGGTAAAAATGTCTCTGAAACTTAGGAGGTTTTCCTCCTAAAAATTTTTAAGAGGCAAGTTCCTTTATGTCGTTAGAAACATCTCATTCTGCCTTTTTGCTCTGTTTGTGTGTTTTTAAAATTTGAGATACCTACATTTTCTCAGCAATAACTTAAAAGCATATCATACAGACAATAAATGCCATGGTGTTACCTTCATTTAGTGCTAAACAGGAGAAGCATGTCTGGTAGGGGTGAGAGTTGCCTATTTTGAAAAGTCAGTACTATTGTCTACAAAAGATAGCTAAAATGACCTGAAGTGCATTACAGCGATTGGTCATAAATTCCTATGGATTTCTCTGGACACATGTAAATGCTGTAAGTACAGAACATATTCCAAGAAGTAAATAAACAATACTGTTGCTCTGCTGCATCATAAGGTATAGTTAAGTAAGTTAAAGAGTGTATTTAGTAAACTTCTTTTCCATACTGTACCTTTTCATCCAAAGCCTTGTGGTGCTCAAACAGAGATTTCAGAGCTTTGAGGACCTCAACTTCACTGGAAACTCCTGAGGGAGACTGTGCTTGCCGTTTCACCACTGTCATCCTCAGTGACCTTTCGTGTCTTGAGACAAGGCACTCCAAATGCTCCAGTAACAGCTATTGGATTTGACATGAAAGATTATTAATTTTTGTGCACCTAAATGCCATGGAAATTCTAACTACAAAGTGCATGGTACCAAATGACAATTTTCTTGGCAATCTCATTGTAGGATAGACTGTTGGAATTATTGACAACATTTCATGATTCTAAATCAAATAGAAAAATACGAAATCTACTCATGATTTCATTTAAAACTCTGAAAAGTGAGAACAACAAATCACTCAGCATAGGGTCACTATTTAACTAAATTAAGTACATATTTACCATATTATTTGTGATAGTAATTGATGAGCATTAACAATCAAATAACAACCAAAGCCAGTCTAAAGTATCATGCAAAAATAGTAAAGAAGTTTATAACTCATTCACGCTAACTGTAATATATTTACAACTTATACTGGAAGATACTTAACAAAGTATGTAAAAGTAAACAGTATTTTTATTAAATTTTTAAGACTATTCATTCTAAATGCTACAGCTAATGGTGTTTGTCACTAGCATGTACACTATAATGTTCATTGTCTCTGCTGTATTACAAGCATAATGGAAGACAAAAAGGTCCATAAAGAGAAAATTCAGATTATTGTAAATATCTGTAAAATAACCTGCAGATATCTATTGTAAAATCATACGATAATTATTTTTCATTATTACTTTGAGGTTAAATGAAAAATTTAAATGGTATGTTGATGTTGTATAGAAAAATTCTCCATTTGTCTATACTTTCACAGGGCTACCATTGCTGTTCCTACTGTCTGAACATAAAAGAGAACCGGTTAGCTGTAAGGTTAAAGCAGGGTACCTAAAGACATGAATCACAATGTATTGTAATTAGAGCATACAATTATATCTAAGTCATTGAACTGGAAATCTGAGTTACATGGATAATTGTTTATTATTTCTCCTTCGATGTGGTTCTTAATATAGCTACTATTAGTAAAGATATATATTTATCTGTAATCCATAGTTATTCTCAGTCACATAATGACCTTTATTGTTACATGAATTAATAGACATAGAAGAGCAAAACCAGAGTGTAATCACATTATAGTTGTAATATATTGCTATTAAGTCAGGAATGATTAGGGTTTGATGTTATCTTTGCTTCAAATATGGTTCTTGTGTCTGGATTTGCACCACTGTACTATTCACAAAAAATAGTGAACACATACACAAACAATGTTAGTACATTAAGAATTGTAATGACTCCATGCAGTTCAAGAAAGGAGGGTATTTCTACCATTTCTGAATTCAAAGGATGGCCGGAATTTATCAAAAGCAAATGAGCAAGAAATTCACAAGCTTTGTCATCCAATCCCTGTAGGGCTGACAGCAGATATAGGTGGATTTTTAATTATTTGAGGGAGTCCAAAGTAACAGGCAGATTTGAAGAGACCTCTTCATCATAGAGCCATCAGGAACTTGGTACAAGGCCGTGGTAAGGTTGTAACTCAAATGAGATCAGAATACCTTCCACATACTTATGGAGTATTTCTGTTCATAGCAGTACTTAAATACACAGTTAATTGCTATCATGAATAGAATTGAATTTCTGAATTTTGGTCTAAATTCATATATCTTTGTGATTTTTCTAGGCCACCTAGTTTATCTAGGAGATAGCTGGAGGAAAGTAAACAGTTGATTTCTAGTGCTAGAACCTACTCTCTGCCCCACCTCTCCAAAGAGACTGTCTGGCTGCAACATTTCCTTCTCTCTGCAGCCGGACCCTGCCCCACTCTGCAGCCCTGGGGTAGCCAGACTCTGACTCTGACCTATGCTGTGGACTCACATTTCTCCACAGTCATTCCCACTTGCTGGCTGATCCTGTTAGAGCCTGGCTCATCCTGCTCTGTTGTCTGTCCTTTCTGCCTTTCTTTATGCAGAAACTTTCCAATGCATCATAGCTACCTCTGGAACAGTTTAAATCTGGTCAAAATGCTATGAATTTCTAGAGAAACTGGGGGGGAAAAAAAAGGAAAATGTTGAACCACAGCTCATTCCTTCCATAAGCCTGTAGCTGTCTGAAGCTCAAACTGACACCCACTAAAGCAGTTCAGAATAACAAAACCTTGGTAACTATTTTTTGGCCGAACACTGAGCAAATTTCTAATATTTGATACCCTACTACCCTAAACAACTTATCTCTTAGACAAACACTGTGATGATCAGAAACAAGAGTTCTGAGAACCTGTACGCAAGTCTTAGTTGGAAGGGAAAATGAGAAAATCTGGTTTAGGAGAGAAGAAAAATGATGGTGATACAGAATTCTTGACATGGAAAAATCTTTCATGACAGAAGGAATTATGCATAACCTATAGCACAGAGATAAATAAGAAACACAGGAAAAAACCCTAATGTACATCCTGAACTTCATTTTGGACTGGCATAGACAGACAACCTCAACAGGGAATTTGAAGTCAGCATGGACTGAAGAAAGAAAAAATCCTTACTAAGACAAGGAAGAATGGTGATCGAAGAGAGTGAAGAAGAGAGAAAAAATAGTTAAACAAGGTTTCCAAGTGTAAGAAGAGAGCAGAGTGGTCAGAACTCAGAATTTCTAATGGGGTAATCGTGGAGGAGATGACTATGTGGGATGAACAGTGCAGCACCCTAGACCTTTGTAGAGCAGCAGAAAATGAATTTCAGTTTAGGTTAAGTTACTGCCATGTTAGAGATGTGCATTAATATATAAAACTAAAGCAATGAAAGTCATCCATTTAATATACACAAAACCTAATTTTGCCTTTAGCTTATAATTAGCATTTTAGAGGTGACAAAACCATATTTCAATGTCTGCATATATTTCATAGTCATTAAATAAATCAAGTGCAAAATACTGTGTTGCCTATTCTGCTGTATAAAGACAGATGAGCTGACATCACAGTTAAGTGTAAAAATACTCATGAGAATTATTGCACTACTTGTGAACATTTCATGCTTTTTCTTTCTGTTCTTATTCATTTAAGTCACTCAGTTTGCAGTGGTTCATTTTTCTGGACACTACCTCTGAACACTGGAATTTTCCTTACCATCAGCCCTAAGAATGCTCGAGAAGGCATGCTGACTTGTATGTTTCTGGCTTGTAAAAATTTCTTATTTTTGCTTTTCAACAAAAGTTAACCCTATTTCTCCACAAATTCTGTAAGCACTGCTTACAGCAAATCCAGCTGAGCAAAGAGCACCATTAACCAGGTCTCCCAGTGCCACGTTACTGTTGGCCATACTGAAAGGGAAGAATAACCCAAGAGTTAGAACATCTGACTGTGACTGAGCCACCTTGCCCCCTGCTTTGCTGAAATGATGCTGCTATTTTATCCATCTTTGCCCCAACCAGAACTATACTTTAAAAAAAGGGTAATAGATCTTTCCTACTTCCCTGGGATGAGCAAATGTAACTGCACTGACAGAACTACGAAGTGTCCATTGCTACAATGATGGGGGAAGGGATATATAAGCATATAAAATTGACATTGAAGATCATCGTGTGGCCAAGCAATGTTTAACAACTGAAGGAAATCAAAATAACTTGTGGGCATGGGGGCATGTTGAGGGCTTTCCCCCTGCTATATAATTCAAGAATTACTACTCCAAATACTTGTGAGAACACCAGGAGATTTCATGTCGAAATAACATTGTAACAATATTGGTAGTTCATTTAAACTACAAAAGAATTGTTAGGAACAGCTTTAGGTATTTTAGTGTGTTGCAATTAAACTCTGGCATTAATAAAGATCATGGGCTGCTGAGCATTTTCTGCTCCCTCACGCTGTGTCGAGCTGCTACAGCCGTCAAGCACTCAGAGGGACAGGCAGCTTGCAGAGAAAAGAAGATGAAGATCAACAGCAGCAGGCGGGACACAATCACCCACGCATCATTGCTATGCTCTTCCTACTGGAAAGCATAAGCTTGACAATGGATTATGAAATAATCTGACAAGTGAATTGTACTCTTATGCTGGGCAAATTTTAGGATGCTCAAGATGCCATGCTGATAATTGAATCTTAGCTAAATGGGATGAAGGTTTCTGGAGCTCTGGACTCTTCATGAGCATAGAGTGTTTAAAAACAAGCATTTGAGGACTGAAAAAATGCTCTAGTGCATATTTTGCGAGTGAAGGAAGCATCTTTAAAATGTTAATTAGAACTAAATCAACAAGAACAGAGAAAATTGTTAGAATATACCCAGCTTTCTGTATTTCTCAAATCACTTCCAATGCATGGTTAAATTCAACGACATAAACTACATCGGTGTAGGTTACCACCACCTATATTATACTATACCATCATTACTACAAGGACATTGATTTCCATACGGAAAATGCAAAAAGTTAAAACATTCTTTTTTAGGAATGATGACTCAGTAAGTTGAAATTAGTGTGACTCAGTAGAGTTTGTATTACTACAGGACCTAGATTTTAATATTTTATCTTAACTAACTTCGTTTTCAACAAAAAAAAAAGTTCACAGCAGGAGAAATTAAAGAATCAGGAGAGGGTGATGGAGAGAAAAGGAGCCGCATAAATAACGGAATACAAGGAAAAAATATAAAAGACAAGGGATTTACTAAAATGAGACAGACTTAGATTAAGGGATTCCTTAGAGGAATGTGACAACCCACTAATAAGACAATTCTCTTTTGAGGTCCAGCTTAAAATTTCTCATCAGCACAGGCACAATGGAATTTCCTTTCAGTCTATATTTAGAATGCACATTGCTCAGTGAATCTCCACTCTGGTGCAAGCAAAGGAGACAAGTAAAATAAGTAGACATGGGGGTGAAGATTATCTCTAAAACCAGTCACAAAATCAGTCATTTTCTTCAGCATTGTTCCACAGTGGTGGAAACCAATTTGCACCTCTGGTCAGCTGGGGTGACCTCCAATAGCTATACTGGTAAATTACCGGTGAAAATCTTTCTTTGAAAAAACAAAGTTACAGCCTAACTACGGCATAATTCCCATGCCTGTCTTTATGTACATCCAAGACAGAAAAGAAAATACTGGCAACCTAAAACCTTAATGGAAACACATATATGTGAAGCTAAAGTATGAAAGAAAATGTAATAATCAGGATAACGACACAAAGTAATAGAAATTAACAAAAGGCTTCTTATGAGAATAATGAATATAGATATAATAACTATTAGATTATAGAGTGAAAATACAGATATTGAAATAATATATATTACATTTACTGTCTATTGTCACCCTGTTTTCTCTGATAGAAGTTCTTATTTTGAAAGAAGAAACACATAAGTCTAGAAGACAGATCATAATATTGAGGCAAAAATGATGAAAATGACTGCCATTTACATTAATGAAATAATGCTTTTGCCTTTACAGAACTTTAGGAAACAGTTATACTTATTTTCATGTGTACAGTGCTTTCAGATTGTACGAACTCATGCTACCATGTTTAAATAAGGAAATAGAGTGCCCAATGTAGTTTCAGTACCTATCAAACCGATGTAAGTAAAAGGACCTCTGAGAAAATGAGCTAAATAAAGGAGTTAAAACCATACTTTGAAAGATATCCTTAGAGTTTTTGGACACAATAAAAGGGAAATTTAATAATAAAATATAGGGTTAAATTCTGATCTATGGGTATTATGAGACTGCAGTGCCTAATTGAAGATGTTTCATAAATAAAAGGAATTGAGACAATAAAATATTAATAAAATTAAATGTAAGTCAGCCTTGTTTACTTTAATAAATGCTTCAGCTCCTGAAATATTAAGTAAAATAAAGGCAATGACAGAAGAATGAAATAAGTATATGAGAAAACATCCTTGGTGTTCAACATCTCTGAGATCTATTCCATATGTTCATTGCCAGCCTGACTCCTGTCTGATGTGGGACTACTCCATCTCTTTTCTCACACCCTTCCACAGCCCAGAAAGCCTCCTCTGCTTCCCTCTTCCATTTTTTTGATCAGTTCTGCCTTTGCCCAGACACTTGCATGTGCAAATGATTTTACTCTGAAAACTGTTCTGTAAACCATTTGAGAATTTTCTGAAGGTGCTATCACATATTCTTGTTCCCAGACAGAATAACATCTTCTGATTGAAGTAGAACATGGTGAATTTAAGGGTGAAATCTTGTCCTCGCTCAGCTGTATGGCAAATGACATTTACTTCAAGGGTCACATGGCTGCATCTAGACTAAACAACAGACTGACTGTGATATGCGTGGCAGCCTTCATCTCATCCTTATCGAGATCAAGTTCAAGGCATAAGGGAAAGCCAGGTCTGTTGTAACCCTCCCTTTTGCCTTGCTAAGAGATGAGGATATGTGCAGGCTACTTAGGCAGGCCCTGAGTCTTGGAAGGCTGCACGAGTGCTTTGCTTTAGAAAACATTTAAACTCAATGTACTTACCATGTTAAATACAAAATCTGCTATTTTTATAATATATCTTGCTACACATACACTCAGCTCCTCCAAGACTGTATCATGGTAGATATGTCCTGTTATGTACAACCTTACAAGTCTCATGTACTTATTAAAAGGCTGGATTTTTTTCTTCTTATTTATACAAATGAAGATCCAAATTTATATGTAAATATATTCCTCCTGCTTTACACATACATGATATCCAGAAAAGGTCTGCTGTATACTTACTCTTGTGTTGTTTCTTTCAGCTTTCAGTTCTGAAATCTCCTCCTCTTTTTCAAGCAGCTGTTCCCTGCATGCATTTAATTCCTTTGTCAGTGCAGCAAACTCCTGTGGAATAAAATTATGTATGAAGTTACTCAAGATGTAAGCGCTAGAATAATCAAATCCATATGCATTCTAGAGTTTGAAGATTTAAATATTATTTAGAAATCATCAACACAAAACTAAAATAGCCTATTAAGCATCAGCATCTTCCAAAACTATTTAAAGTCTAGGCGTACCTAATAAAAAGTGGCTATGGAAAACCCTGATTTAAGTTCAGAAACAGAAGAAAGTTCAAGATGATGGCAACATCCCCATACATAAGCTATCAGAACTACACTAGAAGAAGAACAGAATTGGCCTATTTCATAGCAACAGAGACACAACATTTCACACATAATGAGGTTCAACTCAACATATCCACTTGACGAGTGTTCTTGCCTCTCTGTAAGGCAGCTGTTGCAATATGGCATGAGAGAAAAAAGTTAAGGTATTCACACTGATCAAAACCTATCTAGTATCAGATTAACAGAAGTAATATGTGTGTGGTGAAAAACATACTCTCATTATTTTTACCTGATATTTCAATTTAATTATTAAGATGTATTTAGGCGTTACAGTGAAAGGCTGTGATGACTCAGAGCAACATTTATGTTTGTTAGTCTGGAGTAAGTTTCCTACGAAATAACTACATAAAATGAAATTAGATTTTAAGTTGCTCCCGATGTTAAGTATTATACATGCAATTAATAGGTTTTCTGAAAAACACATTTTTCAGTTGTCAAAATTACTACTAAAAATGTCTTGATTTTACCATTGCTGTTACTCTTCAACCATATACATAAATTTTTGTCTATACAAAGGGCAGTCACAGATTTGTCATTCATTTCAATAATGAAAAGGTGTCACTCCATATGTGTTTATTTTTGACAGGCACAATGTATACTAAACTGTTGTGGTTAATTTTGTCCTTTACAGCAAAAAGATACTACACATCTCATGAAAACAATGAGGTAAAAGATGAAAAGCCTTTAACACTTGTGATCATGTGTCAGAAAAAAAGATGTCTTGATGAACAGCATTGCTGCTTAACAAAGATATATACATATTTTTAAATAGTAAGTTAATTTTAGTTTGACCAAAATAGTTCGTGCTTAGAAGCACCCACAAGCAGCCATAGTTAAACTGAAGTAATTTCTAATTCCTCCCGTCCCCCCAAAAGAAAGCACTTTAAGAACAAAACATGTCCAGGCGGTTTATCTTATCAGCCAGGAGGATGAAGCTGAGACTCAATCTACTTATTTAAGACAAAAGTTAGCAATGCTCTCAAAAGGGCTTGATTTGCTGCTTTCCCTTGAGTTGCTGAAAGCAGCTTTTATCTGAACTAAGGTGCTGTTCAACAGAAGTTTGGTAGGTATTCCTAGGCTCATTCTGTTTTAATCAAGTTTCTGAATAGTTAACGGTATATGTTATTGTTAATAATATATTTAAAAGTATTCAAATAGATTTCAAGTGATATTCTGATGATGTGTAACTAAGGGTTGGGGTTCTTTTTCATTTTTCAGCAACTGGAACTGGATTCACAGTAAACCTCCATGCAGATTGCATGGTAGTAAGGAAAGTGTTGTTCTGATATCCTCAGTACATTTTGTTTTAAAGATCAGCCATTGATCACATGAACAACGTTGTGATGTTTTGTGTCATACCTCCTAATCAGTATTTTCATTTTACACCCTAGTGGTCAAGAACTTGCAAGGCTACACAGCATACTTTGATGATAAAGCCCTTAACTTAGCTTTGAGAATGAGATTTAAATTCTAAAACTCCTCTCTCACTTTTCAAAAGTATCATTAAAACTTTTGCCTGTAGGTCTTACTCTACCACTCCGAATCTGCCAGGCCAGTAGTGTTACTCTATCCAGAATTTCATTTAAAAACCTCCTGTCCTTAAGGTTATAACTAATGTTACATACCAAATGAAAAAATCATATTTAATAGAAAGCCAACTGTCTCAAGTCAGATTGAATCAGAATTTTGAAGCACAAAACCACACACACATTTTTTTCTTTTATTCCTTGAAAAGAAACATTATAAAGCTACAGGGTGGAACTCTTGTTACTAATTTACATACAGGTTGTACACATGGGTAAGTGTCTATAGTACTTTCAGAATCTCACAAAATAAACTTTCTGTGTAACCTATGTAGTACATCATTGTTACTTACGTTTTCTCATTTCTTTGTATTGTTTCAGTTGGAATTAAAATAGACATTTTGGCATATGCTTGGGCATCCGGATGGGTGACAGGTGGTAAAAAGGATAAGAAGTATCATCTGATGACTTACAGTTCCAGTTCCTAACTACAGTAAGGCAAAGCAGTCTGATAACATGCTTTTGCTGCTTTCCTCAGAAACAGAAAAACATACGAGTTTACCAAATTGTACATTCTTTGCTGTGCCAAGGCAAGCCTGCCACCAGCAATGCAGTCCCTAATGCTTTGGTCAATATAATCTCGAATAATTAAGGAATGGAGTTCCTACCGGTTTGCTGAGCAGCACGGAGCTTATTCTTAGGGAAATTTTTTTGGTCATCAGTGTAACTTTTCCCTTGCTTAAAACCAAATCGTTACTTAAAATTCTGCTCCCAGAGAGTCCCATACTTAACACAGTGTCCTCAGCCTCAAAATAACTTCATCTTATATTCATAACTGTAAGCATCCACTTTAGCTGGGCTACCTGTGTCCAGTATTTTAGACGTTTTTACTTGAGTCACTGACACAGTCCCTTCAACCTTTTTACTTATTCAGTTGCTGCTGCTCTCTGAAATTCCTCTGTGCTCTTGACGTATCTGCAGTACTAGCATCTACAACAAGCAGTCACCTCTTCATACCTCTGGAGCTAAAGTGGCCAACTTTCTCTCTTCATCTGAAGTACCAGAGACTGCTCAGTCGTCAAGAGCTTTGACTGCTCTGAATCGAATGATGACGGAAAGAGGGTTTCTTTTTTCTCTTGGTGTTTATATCATAAGCCTTTGCAGGGGAAGTCTCAAAGTAAAACTGAGTTTGCCCTAGAGCTTTACTAATGATGATTTGTCATATCTGCTTTGATGAATTAGTAACTAGGATAAAACCTCACAACAACTTGTTTTTTTGACTCATGCATCCAAAACTAAAAGCAAAACTTATTTTAAATATACTCTTTCCTTCCAAGGTATCCCTGAGATATGACAATGTAATGCTCCAGGGAATGTGTTTCTCTGACAAGTTAGAAGCGAAGCAAAGCATATCTTTGTTTTACCCAGTTATGTAATAAATAACATTTGATGATAACGACCTCTGCTTGTGCAAATCCCTCCTATATATACAGGGATCGAGGGAATACTGTCATCTGGAATTATTGTTTGTGGCAGAAATCTTGCACGGTCAGTCATACTTTGGGAGCCCTGGAGGTAGTATCTGTTGCATAACTAATACGATTTGACAGGCACAACTGCACTCTTAAAGCTTATGTAGAAGTTGTGTGGCTATCTAGCTAATTAAGAACTGATGTGAATTAAAACTGTATGAAAATTATTCAGTTGATTGCACTGTTTTTATGCCATACTATGACATCAGGACACTAACAAATTTTTTTGGTGATAACCAACCCAAGAAAGAGCTTTTTTTTGTCCATCTGAATAAACATAATCTCAGAGCCTATCTTTTCTCTGTCTGTCTTAATACTTGAGCTATAACACTCAGTCTGACCGAAAAATAGCTGACTCAAAATGACAGCTCTTCATTTATCCCATGTTTATCTTTGAAGAGAGGGCAGAAGCTTTGAAAACAAATTCAACAGAAATTTGTTGCCACCGAAAGGACCACTGGGTGTTACAAATAAAAAAAAAAGTGAAGGACTTCCCCTGGTGAAGCAGCTGAGATATGGGCAGAGCAGAGACTGGAGGGTGCTCGGGAGAAGGGAGGGCCATGGAGACTGACAGCCTGACAGTGCTGCCAGATGTGCTGGCAGCAGGACTGGGCAGGGGAGGCACACCACAGCTCTCTTACCCTTACATCTCTGCCTCTCGGGGCTGGCTTCACAAATGCTGCTTGCTTTGCTTATTGTTCCCAGGAAAGGCCCGTGAGGTTTATTTTTGATGACCAAATACGCAGAAAACTTACACAGCTAGTCTCCAAGCTTGAGGGTATGCCACAGAAATTACGAGACCTCCTAGCTGCAATGCTCAACTGTTCAGCCTGTGTACACAGTTCAGTACAGAGTGAGTCGAAATGAAAATACAGTCTCTCATCATCCCCACAAAAAAATAACTACTGAAAGAAAGAAGAAATTTTATAAGACAAAAAAAAAAAAGGCATAAAATTTAGTTTCAGAGACAGTGGGGAGATTCGGCCTAAAATCTCCTTCTCTGGATTTTCCATCTTTGAACCACAGTTCATTTCAGGAATGAATGAGTGAACTAATCTCTGCATGGAGAAAGAATGGTAAGGTTTTATCATTTTCATTTTACATTCAACACAAGTTATGTCAACTGATTTGCTTTCCTACAAATTTAGATGTAACTAATTTAACATAGGAAATTACTATCTACTACAGTTCCCTCAGAGTTTTAACCTTTCTTTTATTATGTTTTCATCCAATCCAAATTTGGAAAAAAACTGTACCTTTTTTCTTTTCTTATTATTCCTTCATTGGAAATAATGTTGAAAATTCTCCACACTTTCTAAATGACCAAGGATTTATTTTACCAATTTTGTCATTACTAGCACACAGATTTCAACTTTTTTGACTCCTATTAACAAGACAAAACACTACAAAATTCTGAATGTAATTCACTGTTTATCCTCTTACTACAGAAGAGCCATAATAGTCCTTGATTCTAGATTAGGTTGAATGCAAGATTCAAATATGTGGGGTTGGTGTCAGTCTTCTGAGATGTCTATTGTTACATCTCTGCTCAAAATGAGAGTTCATTCACACACAAGTTTTAGGTTGGAAAGCATGTACCCTGAAATATTGTATTGTAACAGGACCCAGCTAAAAACAAGAAATCTGTTTGGATCTCAGGACTA